AAAAAAAAAATAAAAATATCAAATTTTATTGAACAAAGATTAGTGATACTTACTGACATCGACTAATGGTCGAAATATAGTTGCTGAAACATTTTTTTCTATATGGAAAAACATCAATAATAAAATGATGATGCATGATGATAATGACAATTTATTCAACCATCTTTTAATGGACGGTATCGTTTGTATTTTGTCAAACATTTTTAATGATGATTTTTTTTTGTTGTTTTCTTATTTAGCTAAAATCTAGGTTATCTGTGTACCGAGTGGATATAATTGGTGATAATCTACAATCAAAAAAAAAAAAACAAAAAAAAAAACAACCAAATGGATCGTGAAAATGAAGAAGAAGAAAAAAAGCAAAATATATAACTTTGTTATTCAATTCTCGATGGATTTCCTATAGGACCGATGATAAAAAGAAAAGAAGAGAATATCCCAATGTATTTCAGTAGATTTTTTCTGTTTTTAAATGTTTTTTCCTGGATTTTTTTTCCACTGGATTTACAGTATTTTTTTTTTTGTATTCAATGTTTTCTTTTTAAATACAAAAAAAGGGGAAAAAAACAAATATTTGCCGATTCTTTATTCTACATAAAATGATGAAATAATTTTTTGCTTCTCTTGGATTCTATGTTAAAGAATTCACAATGGCTAATATTGAAACACTTGGCAAAAAAAAAATTATTATTATTATTTATGCACCAACACACACACAAACACTGACACCGACACTGAAACACACTTAAGCATCAGTGAAAAACAAAGAATGGTTTAAAAAAGAAAAAAAAAACAGAATTTTTCATTTGAATTCAATTTTTTCTCGTTTTGTTTTTTTTTTGGTTCAAATTCTGGAAAAAAAATGCCGACATACATATAACAAACACACACACTATTTGTTTTGAACTACATTTGGATAATTGTTCATTCATTCTTGTTTTTTGTAAGTAAAAAAAAAAATAAAAATAATTTGAATTTTCCTGTATATGTCATGAATGAAATGAAATGTTTGCAAAAAAGACAAATAATATTCTATTTTTGTTTTTTTTTTCATTTCAAAAATATGTTGAAATGCCTGAAGTTGTGTGCTGGCTATCCTATATATGTGGCTGAATTGGATAAAAACAAAAATTCAGGTAGAATTCTTTCAACCAAATAAAATAATGGTGATGATATTAATATATGAGGTCCATGCTTTTGTTTTGTTTTGTTTAGTCGTTTTTTTTTGCCGCCATACAATTACAATTACAAAATATGTGTGACCATTTGTTAAACCATGTGTAAAAAAGTCTTTCCATTTTTGTTTTTTTGATTATCTTCTAAATTGTTATCACGAAAACAAAATAGATGCAGAGAGAGAGAGAGAGAATCTTGACCAACAAAAAGGACAATGTAACAATATTTTGTGTGTGTGAGAATAAATGAAATTGAAAGAAAAACTGGACACGAATTCTGAACACATTAAACACACACACAGAGAGAGAGAGAGAGAGAGAGAGAGAGAGAGAGAGAGAGAGACACGCATCATCATCATCTATTGTTGTTATCAACAACGATGAAATGGAAAAAAGAGAGAGAATATGGAATTGAAAATCTCTGTCTCTGTCTCTGTCACAGCTTTCATCATAATCATTCATTCATTCATTTGTAATATCAAAATGAAAAAAAAATGATATTTTTTCTTTTCTTTTGTCGTTATTATTAAATGTTCAATCAATTCAATGATGATATGATATGATATGAAATGTCCAGATCTTTTTCAATATGTTGCCCCATATTGAAAAAGAGTTCAAACAAATTTAATTATCTCTATAGAAAAGATGAAAACAAAAAGAGAAATTCAATAATGATGGCTATTTTTTTTCCATTGGGTGATCAGATTTATTTTTTAAAAAAAAAATGAGCTTACAATACAGTTTGATGATCATAATGATCAAAGATAAAACAAATTGAATTAATTTGCTTTTCAAAAAAACAACATTTTTTTTTGTTCAAATAATTTCCAAAATTTATCATGCTTTGCTGATCATCATATATGAGATCATTTCGCCACCTTTTCAAATGCTGTAACATTCGATAACGTTTTATTTTTCCAAAATTCTTTAGTTAATTTGATAATTTTCCTTTATTTTTTGTCTGGTTATTATTATCAGAAAAAAATCATTTCATCATTTAATCATTTCATGCATAAATGATAAAAAAGTAATTTAGCTAAAAAGGAAAAGCAAAAGAATCTAAAAAAATGAATGAATTCTTGAATTGATAACAAATGTCAACTATGATGATTTACGGTGATGATGTTGATGATGACGATGACGATGATGATGAATGATTTGTATATAGCATCGAAATGTCAAATAATGATGATTCCTGATGTGGTGGTTCAGGTGGCAGTAGTGATGTTTCCTTTTTTAACCCTCCGCTATTCACGCAGCATTTCTCACGTCGTTATCCATGTGGGGTCATTTTTGACCCCAACTTTGATCGCTTTTAAATTATGTTAGAAAGTTAAAACAATCTAAAATTTTGTGCTCAACTCTTAGAAAATATTATCAATTTTAAAATTTCATCAAAAAATTCTATCTTAAAAGCATATCATTAATGATACAAAGCGGCAAACAAATTTTGATTTTCCTATTAAATTTGGGGTCCGTTNCCGTTCATAACGTAAGTGTTGTAGGTAGGGATCCTACAGCACTTACGTTATGCACATTTAGACTTCATCCCGAAAATCGATGATTTCTCCACTATTCTTAGTCGGAAAACGGTGAAAATTGCCTATCATGTTCAATAAACATAGATCTTCGATCATTCAAGAGAAAATTGATTTATGTTGATAGATTTTCGAATGGCGAAGTTTTAAATGTCGTTGGGGTCAAATTTGACCCCACCTGGATAGCCGAGGGTTAAACAACAATAACAAGAAGAAGAAGAAGAAGAAAAAGATTCTATATCAGTATTTTTACAATGATCATTATAATTATTATTTGAAAAATTATTCAATTCAATTTGTTGTTGTTGTTCGTGTTGTTGTTGTTGACCTTGATAATCATTATGCAAATATTGAAAATGTGTCGAAATTTTCATATTGTTCATCGGATCGGATGAATGATGCTGATGATGATTCACCATAGGCACCCTTATTATTTCATTTTGATAAAATGATTCTTGATGTTTATTGAACGATGTTGTTGCGGGTGTCGTTGTTGTTGATGAAGTGTATGAATTTATTTCCAATAAATTTGAAGAAGAATCTTTATGCCAATTATTTGATGGATAATTAGAAATATCAGTAGAAATAGAAGAAGTAGTAGCTCCTGATTCAAGAGCTAATTCCTGAAATTTTTCCTTTGGATTTTGAATAAATTCATCATGATGATGATGATGATGATGATTTTGATTAAAAAATTTTTTTCGTTTCATATTAACGAAAGAATTTGTTGTTGTTGCTGTTTCATGACAATCAAATTGTTTCGTAGAATCATTATCAATGTTTTTTTCATCATTATCACCATTATTATTATTAATAGTGCATTTTTTATTTTCCTGGAATTTTAACGATTCATTAGATTTGATGTTTTGGATGCTATTAGTAGATAAAATTTGTGGCTTGTAATTTAATAGCTTTTCTAATGATGATTGACATTCAATTTTATCAGCCATATGTTGGTGGTTGTTCATTGTTGATGAAGATGACGATAATGATATGGGTGTTTTTTTTGTAAAAAAATCTGGTCCTAACATTGCGCGTAACATTAACATTGGTTTTGTACGACGTTTTCTTGTTCGTACTGATTCTTTGCGCATTTCAATCGGTCGATTAATACCATTTAAACGAAAATATAATCCACATGCATTACAAACAGATTCACCCAATGAATTTCTTCTCCACATTGATGTTGTTTTTGTTCCACAATTTGCACAACATAAACCTAATCGATTGATTTTTTTTTTTTTTTTGAATGAATAAAAAAAAGAGAAAAGAAAAATTGGAAATTTATTCTATCATTCGATTCGTAGATGGCAGCTTATGTCTTAAAAAACATAAATGACAGAAAAAAAACAAAAAATCAATTTTCCTTAATCCATCGACATCAGGATCATTAAATAATAATGAAAAATTTGTAATTTAAAAAAATGAAACGAAAAAAAAACATTACGGTTAATAAATGAAAATAAATGAACATTTATATTATCCCTATGAGAGTAGGAGTGTGTGTGTATGGGAAAAAAAACAAAAAACAAAATCCAACTCATTAGTAAAGAAATCCAAAACTATGGATATTAAATTTAATGATTATGGGAAGGAATAATAAAAATGAAAAACCCCTTTTGATGCTAAACTTGACAATAGAATTAATTTATGAATTGAGATTCATTCTTCCTTCCTTCATTTTGGTTTTCTGTTTGGTTTTCTCCCACCATAATGTTGAATTTAAAGATTTTTTTTCTTTTTTTGACAAATTGAACTGAATGGAGAAATGAAAAGAATTTGTTCCCCATATTACTGATCATCGAGAAAAAAATAATAATGATTCGAATTTTGCGTGTGTAAAATAAATTACATCAATTACCAATTGTTTAGTGTTGGTTTCCATTGAAACTTATTGCTATTTGTTCATTAATTTAGATGTAACAACCATAATAAATCAAATCTATTTGATTCTTCATTCATCAATTAGAAATTATAAATGATTCGGGTTTTTTTCAAATTAAATTACCTGTTCGTTTTGTATTGTTTGTCGTAATATTTCTACGAATATTTTTCATTAATGGTCTATGATTACCATTAACACGTTGATAAAGGCCACATGCATTACAAAGAAAATTATTTGGTCCATAACGACGCCATAATGGTGTATTACGTGTTGAACAATTAACACATTCACGTTCACCAATATTCAATGATGTTAATGAAACCATTAAACAATCCGCATTTTGATTGGATAATGTTGAGGATTGTATAGTAGAGGTTGTTGTTGTCGTTGTTGTTATGGGTGATGTTATTTCCAATAAATCCGATGAACAACAAATTAATTTTTTCTCATTATCTTTATCATTATTATTATCGACGATATTTTTCTCATTATTTTTATCAAAATTATTATTAGCTTTTTGACCATCATCATCATTAATTGTATATCTTAATGTTGATGAAAGGCCATCGTTATCGGGTAGCAAACATTCTGTTGGATTTGTTTTATTGATGTTTGATAACAATGATGATGCGGAAGAGGAAGACAGATGTTGATTTTCTTCTTTAGCCAATTGAATAGATGAATTATAATAACAGCTTGTTATAAAATTGGATTTATTTGTAATATCGATAACAAGATTATTATCATCATCATCATTTCTTGATGATGTAAATTCTTGAACAGAATTATTATTGCTTTGTTTTGGTTCAAATGTTTGATTTTCTATTATGGAATTATGGTTATTATTATAAAAATTTTGATTATTAAATTGATAATATTGATTTTGTTGATAATCTACATTTGTCGTTTCATTGACTAAATAATTATTTACAATCGAATTACGAAAATCCATATGAACTATTGAATAATTTGGTTGTTGTTGTTGATGATGATCGATTACATTCGATTGAGATGATGCAAGTTGTTGTTTAGTAATAAATGTTTGAACATGGTTGGAATTTTGTTGATAATCCAATAGAAAATCATAACTATCATCAATATTATTCATTGTATTGTAATGATATTATCAGAATAAGATACAAACAAGAGAATAATATTCTAAACAAAACAAAAAAATTTATAAACATAATTTACAAGTAGTAAACTTGTCAAATATTCGAATCATGTTTTTTGTTTATTTGTTTGTTTCGGGATAAACAAAATGATAATGATTACCTTTTATCCATGATCTTTTTTTTTCACCAATGGAAAACAAACAAGCTGCCATCATCATCATCATGATCTTTTTTTTCTTTCATAATAATCATTAAGTTGTTCTTTTCTTTTCTTTCTGGTTATTTCATGAATGAATAATATTCATATAAGAAAAAGCATGTTCAACACACACACTCTTTTTTTTTATTTAAAAAAAAAAATCTTTTCATTTTTCCATTATTATTATTCATCAAATTATCATCATCTATTCATTTGAATGAATGAATGAATAAAGTAGTAAATGAACATTCTAAATTGCTGTGTGTATACTTAATTTTGTTATGTAAGTAAGTACTATTCAACCATCAATATCAATTTCGTGTTATGGTTGTTGTTGTTGTTTTTTCCATCGGTGCTTTTTTAGTGGGTGAGAAAAGAAGTGTGTATCTCATATGTTTCTCAATATGCAATATTCCATATCTATCTACCGCATATCAAAGCCGGGTTTTTTAAAAAAACCAAACCAACCAAAAACAAATTACTATCCATACAAGAATCATTTACACCTATTTCGGATACCTTGAAATGAATTTGTTTATTTAGAAAAAATTTTTCTTTAAAGTCGTAACTACCACTAATTGTTATTATTATAACGACAATAAAACAATGCGAAAACAACGATGTAAATGGCCGTTTAATAATAATGATGATTACGATGACAATCTTGATGAACATTAAGTATCCATTAGAATGGTAAAAATGGAAGAAAGAAAGAAAAAAACAATAAACCCCAAAAACAACAATCATATTTAGCTAATTATTAATTATTTTCCTTTATTCTCCTATTTTACAAATGATCATTACGAAAAAAAAAACAATTAGAAAAAGGTAATGACAGCCAGTAATGATGATTGTGATGATGAAAAAAATTAACGACCAACCGCAAACAGAAAATCCTTTTTTTTTTTGTAATCTGATTAAGAATTGTATCAACAAACACAAGCAAACCAAATTTTGAATGCTATAAATAAATGTTTGTCGCCCAAAGTTTGTTAGTTTTCATTCATCATAATTTTTTTCTTTTTGATCAGATCAATTCATCAATGATATTCGTTTGAAAATCTTCTAATCAACGGAAATTATTAATGTAATTATTATAATGGTGGTGGTGGTGGTGGTGGTGGTGGTGGTGGAGAAAATAAATAAACCTATTGATTGTCATAAACAGTAAATGTATTCGAGAAAGAAGAGGGAGAGAGAATTATATTTTGTATACAGAAGCAAACTTAATGATAATTTATTTTTTTTTCTGTTAGTTTCATAAAGAATTTATGAAACAAGAAGTTGTTTTTATAATCTGAAATAACTCATATGTATTAATGGTTGGAAAAAAAGAAGAAGAAGAAAAAACCAAGCAAGCAACAAAAAAAGGGAAATTTCGTAATGCCCAATATAAAGAGATGAAACAAGAAGAAAAAAATTAGCCAATTATTTCATCATTCAAGTGAATTCCTTTGATAGTTTTGTCAACGTTTTTGGTTGATATGAAAACAACAACAACAAAACAGCAAAAAAAATTGATTCCGAATTGATTCAACAATGAGCCCAATATTATTTCCAATTTGGTTTTTTTATTGTTGTTGTTTTTGTTACTTTCTTTAATATAGGAAATGGTGATGCAATTCAAAATTGCTCCAAAATAAAAATATTAATGATGATGATGATGAAAACGATTAAAAGCTTGAACTAGAAATTTTTTTTTTTGCTAATTTTATCATTTTTATCATTTTCTTTCGATATATACCATTAGATCTGGTAACCAATGATAATGTTGTTTCAGTGACCAAGAGAGAGAGAGAGAGAGAACCTTAGGCAACAACAAGGACAAGACCAAAAACAAACAAACAAACAAACCAAAAAAAAAATAAATAAATAGAACAAATATGGTAGTTTCAACAACATTCCATAGAAAAACATTTCATTTTAGTCATTCACGAATTTTTTTTTTCAAATATACACAGAATTCATTTCCTATTGGATATATTCAGACTGATTTTTTTTTCTCGTTTTTTCATTGCACCTTACATTACATTCATTTTAACATCAAACATAATGATAATTATGATTATGATTATGATGATGATGATGATGTGCTAAATATCCATCATAAATGTTTTTTTTTATTTATATAAAATATGCATAAACACGAACAAATCATTAGAATATTGCCTTGCTGCTGCACAAAAAAAATGAACTTTTTTGCCATTCGAACATGATAATTCGTTCATACAACAACATTAAAATAGACACAGGACGGAACAGAACTGGAAACGAAACAAAACGAAACGAAATTCCAACATAATCATTATCAATATATGTTATATGTACATAATTAGGTAACAGCAACAAAATCATATAATAATAATCATTATTAACAAAGTATCAATAATAATAATAATCATCAGCTTAAATCCATATTATGTTTTTTTTTCCATCTGTTTGCTGGTTTAAATATAGGAATTTTCGTTTTGTTTTTTTTTGTTTTGAACAAATCAATGCGATTAGTGATGGCTTCAGTTGTTATTGGTTGGTTTAATTATAAATTTTGAAAGAAAAAACGGTGAAAAAATATATTGTAAAATAAAATGTTTCAAAAAGCCAATAATCGCGATGAAGGTTAAATATCTCATTATAAATAAATAAATAAATTTTTTTTTCATATGTTTTGCCTTGTGTGTAACGTTAACGTTTGTTATATAACACAGTAATCCGGATAAATAAATAAATAAAGTTTTTTTTTGTGATGAAAAGAATACCCCCCAAAAAAAAGATACAATGTTTTTGTCATATTCGATATGAGGCTATATGATTGATTTTTATTGTTGTTTTTGTTGTTGTTGTGATGATGATCATTGATCAAGTTTGTAATTTATTGATCGATACAATCGATCAATTGATTTGATAATGGAAATTCGATCAATAAATTTTGTCATTTAATATGTTGAAAAAACTTTTCGAAAAATGTCTTAAAAATACTTTGCCCAAAAGAAACAAAAAGAAAAGGATTTTTAAAATTCCATTATTTATGTTGTTCTTGTTGTTGTTGCTCTTGATGTCATCAGATCCTTCAATATTTATTTATGATGATGATGAAGAAGACAAGGATTTGTTTTCATATTGACCAGAAACTCTAGATTCTATTTTTTCTTCTATTTACACACCATCCGAGAAAATCTTTGTGATGATAATTCGAAGAAACAATAATTATAGATAAAAATTGAAAAAAAATCGTTACGAAAAACTTTAGGAATTTGAACCATTTTTTGTTGTTGTTGTTCTTCTTTATTTTCAAGGAGTTTGTTACATCATTTTGTTTTTGTTTTTTGTCTTTGTATTCGAAGAGACAACATTTTTTTCCTTCCTTCCTTGATTCATTCATTTCTGGTATTTGATTCACAAAAAAAAATTAAACAACTTGCACAATTTTGAATTTAAAATAATTTCTTCCAATTCCATGAAAAATCGGTTGTGTAGTACATCGGAATTTTCTTTTGTTTATTTTTCTTTTCTGATTTTGATTCAAAAAAAAACAAATTCACTTTCCTGGAAATCTTATTACATTCATATTTTTGGAATGTAGAAAAAAAAACAACAACAAACAAACAAAAATAACAAGGAAGAAGATGGTTTAGGTGGAAATAGAATTTAAGCCAAAATGAAAACAAAAACAAATCGAGAGATCATTCGAAACTAAATAATTGATTTTAATAAAAATTTTTTTTTTTTGATTTCAATAATTTATTTTTGTTGCAAACAATAATTTATCTTCTTTTTCAATGTTGAATAATAATAATAAGGTATACCTTTTTTCCCCGAAACAAAAAAAAAAAACGATAAAGAATTAAAATGAACTTTTTTTTTCTTCATTATAAATTTCCAGAGTCAAAAAAAAATGACATTCGTTTTCGGTTGCACCAAAAAAAATTTTTTTTTTCAATATTAATGAGATGGCCTAAACTTTTTTTAAAAAAAAACATATATATTGAAAGCCGGTTGGATTATAAACCTCATATATAATGCTGAAGCTGATATTTTCAAGCGAAAATAATAGAAACAAACTTTCAAACCTTATCATCTTGAGAACTTGGTTGATTGGAAATACTATTTTGTTCATTGTATAAGGTTTTATCTTGTTTTTTGAACAAAAAACAACAAAAATGTCAAAGTATAATGAAACAAAAGAGAACAACTTTATTATCCGATTTTTCATTTGTTACCATTGTTTTGTTTTTTTTCTGTTGGGAGCCATAATGAATTCAATGAAATAACAGAATATTCTATTACGAACACCTTTACCACTGCTCTACACATTGTATGATTAATTTATGTGATTCTGTGTGTTACTGGGTAGAAAAAAGATATTATTATTTTTTTCTGTTTGTTTATTTTTCGTCTGTCGTTGTCATATTTCATCAGAATTTTTGACATTTTTTTCTTGCAACTACCAAAATAATATAGATGTTCGACGAATGTATTTTGAATGTTATTTTTTTTCATTCATTCATTCGTTCGTTTCAGTTCATTTGGCATTAAGATTGAATCAAAATCAATGATGATGATTTATTTTGTTCGACATTGAACAAAATCAACATTGAACAAAAAAAAAAAGATCAAATGAATTTTGATTCCAAAGAATTTTTATTTAATTTTCGATCTTATATGTTCTTTACATCAACATCAACAACAAAACAAACATATTACCAAACTTGTACCACCATCATCAGTTGTACTAAAGTTTAACATTTCGATAAATCATTATCAACAACAACAACGACAACAACATTGTCATTATTATTTAAAGCCATTCGAATTCGAGTTTATTTGTATCATTATTATTATTATTTAAGTCAGCCAAATTGTGATAGTGGGATTCAAAGAAATTTTTCTCTCTCTCTCGATGGATTAACATCAACATCATGTAAAGAAGAAGAAGAAAAAATTGCGAAAATTCTTGCAATGCAAGCAAATAAAATTGTTGAAATGGTCAAAAATAAATCATTTAATTTTATTCGATTCACATCCATAAAACAAAACCAAAAACCAAAAAAAAAAAAAAATCACACTGATTATTTTATGAATCACTGAATTTGATTTGGATTATTCGAAAATAGAAACACAAAATTCATGAATGTGGTATGGAATAATGAAAATGAGAAATAAGTTAAAAAAAAGGAAATGTTAAGGGAGAAAAAAAACATTATGGCAGATTTTTTTTGTGTTTTGTAACAAAATTTTTTAAATCTCAAAAAATGAAATGAATAATAATCGTATTGATTCGAAATTTTCAATGTATTTTTTTAAACATTATCACAATTTGGACTATTATTGATTTCATCCGTTTCAGATGATGAACAAAATGAATTAAGATTAAGTGATGTTGTTTTTGTGATTGGTTCGGGTTCGGGTATTTCAATTTCATTTTGTTTTGATTGATGCGATGATTGTTGTTGTTGTTGTCGTTGAGATTGTTGTTGTTGTTGTTGTTGGTGAAATGCATTAGCTCTTGTCAATAACATTATTAATTGTCCACTATGATAACGACGACGTCCAGCTTGTGTAGTCATCAATGCTAGTCGTTGTTCTTTTGTCACGAAACTATTGATAATATTTTGATTATTTAAAGAATTTTGTTGTTGTTGATTATTTTCAAGATAAGCAGACATTGAAATTAATTCAGAAATAGCTTGTTGTTGTCCAGTTGTATTACCACTATTTGTTGTACTTGACCATGATGCTAATGAAACTGGATTTTGATTTAATTCATTTTCAAAATTCCATTCATTTTCTATTGAAATTTGTTGTTGTTGTTGTTGTTGATTATTATTATTATTATTAATTGTTGAACAACAACAATTATTATCCATATAAATTTGATCACAAACAGTTGATACAGTTGGTATTGTATTGAATGTATTCGGTTTACACCAACGTAAACACCAACAACAAAAACAACAATAATAACAACAAAATAAACGTTCAGCTATTATAATACATGGATTGCAGAATAAATATTTTAACATTGATGTTATTTTTTGACGAAACAATTCATTTAGCCAACAATAAATGAATGGATTATAGCAAACAGAACTCATTGCAAACCAATGTACAATGAAAAATAAAACTGTGTTTGATGATGATAAAAAATTAAAAAATTGATTTTTGAAAAAAAAACTCAAAATAAAAAAGTAATTAAAACAAAAACTTACGAATATGATGATGTGTAATGAAACCAAGATCGGTGAGCAAAATATAAAGATTTAATGGTAACCAACAAATAGCAAATGTTGCAACAACCATTATTAATAAACGAATACGTTTCCTTTTCCTTTGTAATAATAATAAACGTTTACGTTCAGAAATCAAACCAATTGTTTCACGACGCCATAAAAATACACCAATATGTAGATAACAAAATGTTGTTATACCAATCGGTAGAATATATTGTGTAATAAATGTATAAATCGTTAACCAATATTTTGTTTTTTCATTTGGAAAATTATTTATTGTACATCTAGTCATTTCAATATAATCATGATGTACAATTTTACTAAATAAACTATGTGGTATGGATAATATTAATGATATAATCCATATTATTAAAACAATAGCGGTTGGTGAAAAATGTTTTGAACAAGTTGTTGTTGATGATGATGATGATAATAATATTGATTTTTTTGTTATTTGTCTTGTTGTTGTTGTTGATGGTGATTGATTAATGACTGGTGGTGGTGGTGGAATCCACCGAATCGGACAACAACAACAAAAATATGCACAAAAACAATAACGTAAATTTAATAAAATTCTTTCGATTGTTTGATAAAAATTTGGAAAAAATTTTCTATTCAGAATTTGTTGTTGTTGTTGTTGTTGATTATGATGACATTGATGATGAATACAGAAACGATTTGTATTTGTAGAAATTTCTACTTTTTCCAAATCAATCGAAGAATCAACCGAATAACGAATACAATTTTCCGAAAAATTTGTTTGTATCATAGTGCAGCTTGAATTTCGATTTCCATTAATGTTGTTTATATTACGATGTTTTTGATTATTATTATAAATTTTTTTTCGATTATAATGATTATTTCGATATAAATTACGTAGACGAAACATTGTACGAGGATGAAAAACTCTTTTATAATTGAAAAACAAAACGAAAACAAAAAAACATTAACAAAAACAACACCGAAACAATTTTATAAATGAGAAAAAAAAAATCAATTACTGAATATTATGAAATTTGTAATATTTCTTCTTCTTCGGTATAATTTTTGATGTTGATAAAAAAAAAATATTTATCAGAAATTCACCCGCACTCAATTCTAATTTCAATTCAAAGTGAATTTTGTGAAACAGATGAAGGTTTTTTGTTTTGTGAACAAATGAAGGAAAAAATTATTAAATTATTAATAACACTCAGATTCAATAATTATACCGATATATCTTGTTATTGTTTTTTTTTACTTTCTCTATACACATCAAATTCAAAATGTTGAAATATTCTGGGGAAAAAATAGATATTCATTGAATTTAAAATCCTAAAAAAAAAATTTGGCCAGTTGATTTCGAAATCTTTTTTGATTTCTCTTTTCAAGCAAAGAGAAAATCAAAATGTTTTTTTTCCAAAAAAAAATATTATATCAGAAACCGGGACTATAGCTTGAAGCTGAAAATTTCAATTACACAATTTTGTTTATCTGTCTGTTTTTTTTGGGGGGGGGGGTAAATAATGTTCAATGTTTATCATGTTTATCAACATTGTATAAAAACTTATTTATATTTTTTTTTCGGGCATTATCAAGAAAATTTCGTCAACTAATTCCTTTTTTTAGAAGCAGACAAAATACCAAAGTGCAAGTGTATTATCATTTTTTTTTTTTTTCCTGTGAATGAATAAACATTCGAATATTCATGATTGATCGATTCTATTTTGACAACATTTGATTTTTTGTTGTATAAATAGTATGTGATAAGATGCTCGATGTGTAATTTTGTTGTTGTTGTTGTTGTTGTTGTTGTGTAGGCGTTATGTTTTTTGTGTGTTCGATTTTTTAATTGATCGATTAATCGATTGATTGATCAACAAGAAATAGGTAGGTATACTTTATTTATTTAAATTTGTAAAGAAGATTTTTTTTTCAAAAGATTTGTTTACATTCTCTATTTTTTTGATTAAATCAATAGTTTGAATAAAATAGTATCAATTTTACAAACACTTACTTTCGATAACGTTCAAATGCAATAATCATCATTGTCCATGCTGAACAATAAGCCGAAACTGATTGTATAAAAGGCATCATTGTACAGATTAATGAACCAAATGGCCAATCACGGCTAACAAAACGTACAATATTCATGGGTATATTGAATGTTGTAAGTAATAGATCGGAAATTGCTAGATTAATTATCAATAATTTTGATGTACCCGTACCATTTGATGATGTAATAGGTAATGTATATGATGATTGTTTAGGTTTTAATAGTACACGACAAACAAGTCCATTACCAATTAATGAAATTATAGCCAATAATGAATAAAAAAATATTAATAATATATTAAATATATGATAAATATGAAGATTTAGATCATCGGATAAATCATCATCATCATTATGACCAAAATAATGTTCTTCATTCAATAATCCATAATCATCATCACTATAATTATTTGATGATTTAAGGATTTTCGAATCAGGATTTAAAAGAATTTTGTTCATTTTTTCATCATTCGAATCAATATTATGAGCAAATGTAATATTTTTTTGAATATCGTTTTTTTGTTGTATGGAATCATTCAAAATATCCAAATGATTTATAATAAAATTTTCATCTAAAAGATAGGCAATTGAATGAAAATAATCTGTACTTCGTCGGCGTCGTCGTCTTTGTTGTTGTTGTTGTTGTTGATCATAAGATTCATTTTCACTATTTTCGTTTTGTTGTTGTTGTTGCTTATTCGATGACGCAATAAGAATAAATATCGATGATGATGATGATGATGATGATGATGATGATGATGATGATGAAGAAAATTCAGATGAAGATGAACAAATATTCAGTTGGCAAAAAATAAATATGGTTATCAATATGCATGACATTCTAAATATATACATTATTTTAATGTTTTTTCTTCGGGAACAAAAACAAAAACAAAAAACAGAATTCAGATGAATCAAAAGAAGAAAAAAAAAATCCAATCACAATGTAGGAAATAAATCGACGAATAAATTATTCTAGCAACCGAATAAATCTTTTCGATTTTTTTTTTGTTTTCCCGATATCTTTCTCCGTGAACTATAAATTATCAAATGGAATTTTCAACCTGACAACCGAATTGAACAAATTCCGAAAACACATGATAATGATTTGCATCAAACAAAACAAAAAACAGTAATAAAAAAAACATTTGCGAATTCAACCGACTAACTAACTAACAAACAGACTGACTAACTGACTGACTGAATGACTGACTGATAATGGATAAACCGGATAGATGCTAGAATCAAGAATTGCAACAACAACAACAGAAAAAAAATCTAATGAATAAAAAAAATGAATTTTTCCGCTCGTGCGCCATTCCAAGAATTTCGGTTACTTTTTTTTAGTTAGCAATAGCTATAAAAAACAAAACAAAACAAAATAGTGGTACAACCAACAAAAATCTTTTTTTCTCTCTTTGGCATTGAAAGCAAACAATTTACAAATGAAATTCATAACCGCGAATAATGATTTTAAGTAAGAAATGGAAAGAAGGAAAAACACAAAAATCCATTGAAATTTAATTGCTATCGAATTGATTATTATTATTTTTCAATCGACCATATTATTGAACATGGAAAAGTGTTTTTTTTTTTTTTGGTGGTGGATTATAAACAAAATCGGAATTTTTTACCATTAAAACAGGATTATCAATATAATGGGATATTGATGAATTTTTCGATATTTGTCCGCGGTATGCGCGCCAAACCAAAATAAAAAAGAACGCGTTATTAAATTGTACTGGGATATATGAACGGCATTTGGAGCATGCAGAACCAAAAAAAAAAAAAAAATGAGCTGTTCATTCCATCAACAACAAACCGAATAATTTTTTGAAATAATTTTATTTGAAAAAAAAAGTTTACTAATATCGAAACTTCAATCATGATGAGCCGAAAACCTCGTCCCCAACAACAACAACAACACCAACAGCAACAACAATATTTTCATAAAAATTCACAACAGCCAAATAATAATAGAAGAAGACAATATAATGACAATCAACAACAATCATATAATGATCATGATGATCGGTAATACTTTTTTTTTCCAATGTCTATGTTTTAAAATTCAACAATATTTTTTCAATTCTATAGATCAAATGTTCACAATCGATTAGGTCCAAGACGACGAAATATACGTGGTTCGGGTGGAAATAATTATCGTCAAACATCGTCACGAAATAATCGTACTCAAAATTATAATAATAAAGATGCAAATAATCGTCGAAGTGGTGATGATTTTTTCAAAGTTACCATTCCAAATGGTCATAAATATGAACAAGCATATATCAGACAATTACTCAAAGAAAATTTAGATGATATGGATGACGAAATAATATTTTATAATGTAAGCTTTATTTGATGAAATTTTTTGTTAATTAATTTTTAATTAATTCATTTATTTATCAGTATCATATTGGACAAAATAATTGTGTCTTTTATGTAAATGGTCAAGACAAAGCTGATACTTTACGTGGCCTAAGCAGACGGATAAAAACAAATAGTGGTCATAATTTAATAATATTGACACAAAGAACACCACCACCAGTAATACAAATGAACGATCAATACATTGAATTGATTAAGATCGCAATGAGTTCACAATATGATCATCATACCAATATAATGGATTTAAGTCAATTTACACATTCTAAACATCTAAAAAGTCAAGGATTATATATTATGTTAAATCGTCCAAATGTTCTTGCTAATATCGTTAGATTGATTATTGATAATGCTCCAAATACTATAGCCATTAATCTTAGTGATAATAAAATACAAATATTGGAACCATTGAAAGATTTATCATCACTTACTCAATTGAAAGCATTGAATTTATCGAAAAATAATGTAATTATTGATTGATTTTAATAAGTTTAAAATGTAAAATTTCATTTCATTTTTTATTATTTTATAGATAAACAATTTTGAACAATTAGATCATATAAAACATCTTGATCTTTTGGAATTGGATCTAGAAGGAAATCCATTAATCAACAATTATCAAAGTAGTGCAGCATATGTCAGGTTTGTAACATTGTTAATTCAATGCTTTTTTATCCATTCATCATTTTTCATATGATAGAATTCTTGTTATTATTGATGTTATAAATGTGTTATTGCCTAATTCGGTATATCTATTTATTTGTACCCGAAAAATTCATAATAATATATTGTCGGAAAAATATCCGACAGTAAAAATATTTGGTTTTCTTCAACCATTTAAAATATAAATGGTTTCAATGAATAAGAAAACATCGAAAAAGTACATATCGTAAGCTGTATTTAAAAAAAATAGGTGACAAAACCTGATAAAATTCATAGTTTACTAAACAAACGTCCATAATGACATAAACGTTCGAAATGAACTGTTGAAAAAAGTACATTTGGTTGTCCAAAAAAAAAAAAAAAAAATTTTTTCGAATTTTTAATCATTCAAAAAAACATTTATA